TTCTTACAACAAACTAGACTTATTACCCTTTCTTCTGATGTATATACGATTACATTCGGTTAACTCTAAGTATTTTAATTAAATCAAAACAAAACACTACTCCTCGTAATTTTACCGCGATGTCCCGAGCGCCCTTGACTCGTCCGAGAAGGCGAAATAATAGCAATATGGCCGCCCGTCTAAGGTTTCCCACACACGATGTAATTTTAATAAAATATTTTAAATAATTTTATGAATTAGTTTTATGCAATAATTGTATTTTTGAAGTTGTTTATTTGTTCTAGTTGGTTATTTAAATAAAAAGCAAATAAAAAAATCAATATATAATATAATAATTTATTCTTTCCACACATTTATATATGGTAAGCCATAAAACAATTTTCAATGCAGAGATTGACGTCGCATTGTAGACACTTCCATATGGTCACCGCGACCCCCACGTCCCCTGTTTCCCCCACGTCCCCTGTTTCCCCCACGTCCCCTAGTTCCCCCATTTCCCTCAACATAAAAGCTTTCATTTGGTGATCTGCATGAATAATTTAAAACATTAGTATTGTTAAAAGAATAAAATAAAATTTGGCGAAGCATTAAAATATATGCGACCATGCAACACGTGCAAGGGCAACAGTAAAAAAGAAAGGTAGTCAAATCCACAAGTGCATTTTTTTACATTTAGCGGAAATTAATCAACACGAACAAACATGTAATTAATGTTTCAAAACAAAAAAAAACCATTAGAACATTATACATATCCAACGGAAACCAAGCGAAAAATAAATGATGAATATTAGTACAAAACCCAAAAGTGCATTTTATATTAAATATTAGTATCATCTCAAGCAAAATATTATACCACCACTAGCAAAACAAAAATAATGCAAACATATTTTGCCGTGTATAGCGAACCTTATTTATCACGTTTCATGTAACGTCCGTGGATACCAAACAGTCCACATCAAAAAACCTGAGGAACACATTGACATTATTATGGAATCTTCAGTGAATTTAGTATATTTCTCTTTGAAAAATGTATTATTTTGCTTATTACGAAATGTATTTCGATATTTTATATACTATTGTAATGCAAAGTATGTAAAATATGTATAAACAAAACTAAAAGTAGCCGACACCATACGACCGGCCATTTTTTTCGAAACAACAATCGTTTGAAGTTAAAAGTAGACTAGATTTATCAGCTAAAACTGTGATATTTATACATCATCGTAAAGCACAAATCTTCTAGTTTATTTTGATGTATAACACTTGCAAGATAAATAAAACAAAACTGTAGTACTTACGACATAATTGTTGGCACTCACAAAAACACTTCACAACACGCGCGTCAAACGAGTCAACTGAACTTAAAAAATTATATTTTGTTTGTCAAAGCTTATTACACTGCCATCTCTATTTTTTTCGTCGAACTATTTATTCAACTGTATAGATAATCTGTCAAAACTCACCAAGCAAGACCGTATTTTAAACTAGAGGGCATTAAACACAACTCGTCGCTTTGGATACTATAGTATCCATGGGCGTATGACGCTACTTTTTTCTTGGATACCGTACTATCCACGGACGTCAGAGTGGTTATGGATATGAACTTCAAAAGTTATATCTATTTCTTCGTAGTCCATAGCCGTGTACTACGAAATGCTATTCAAACAATTCAAACAAAACAGATGGCAAAGAAAGTTACTACGTTACGATTGTAGAATTACGTATTACGTCGTAGCACTTTATTTTATTTTTATTAGCTCAGTTGACATTATATTAAGTTTTGTAAGCTGATAAGCTCTATTTAGTAAGTAATAGTTACTCAATTACACATTACTTCGAAACTGAAATGGAACATCTCTTATTAAATTTTATTTTGAAGCCTGATACTGCTGTGTGAATGAAGTTTCCTCACCATGTACGAGATGCCATTGTCGGTACCAGCGTCGTAAGGGAACAGGTCCACGACCTTGGACTCCGCCCAGGTGCAGTCCTTCTGGCACAGGTTCAGACCGCTCACGCCAACCACCCAGTCGGGAGATGGGCCTATCAGATAATTCTATATGAGAAGCAGGAACCAGTTACATGCACAGAGGGTATTTTAGGTATAAAATGCATTTTCAGACCTATGTTTCATTTACATGTTTTAGAGCGAAAGTTTTGGTCACGGTAATAAGGCGGAAACGTACATTAATGTTTAACATAATGAACATATGTCTTACCGAACATGGAAGCAAGCGAGAGGAACGGCCTCTTCCTATCCGTGGTGAATGCCGCGCTAGTGTTGGAGTTGACACGTGGGTGCCACAGACCCTGCGCCTTCACTATGGAGCGTAGCTTCGAGCCTTGTTGACGGAGCTCCGCCTCCAGCAAACCTACTGAACCCCACTCCGCCAATGACCTGAATAACGAGAAATCACATGAAACTAAGTATTCCTCCTGTAATAAATAAATAAATAACTTCACGTGACAATACAACTAGTGTTCAATAAATAGCATCACCTGAATCCATCAGTAGCGATCTCCCCTTCTCCCCAGAACTTAAAGTTCTTGGGGTGCGTGGCGCCGATGACGTCAGAGAAGTGCGTCAGCCACATTGCTTGCACCGGGAAGTCCTTGGGGTGCGTCTGTGGGGACCATAGCCCTTCGAATACCATCTGTAAATAGCATTTAAAACATCGTTTGAACTCAGGAACGCTATACATTTATTTATATTTCGAAGAAAGGGTATGTATGTTAGAAAAAAACATATGAACAGCTTAATATTAACTGACCCTGTACTTGGCATCGTCGCAGGCGCAGCAGTCGCTGGACTGCAGCGAGGTGTCCTCACAGACGCGCCTGGTCAGCTGGCCGTCCTCCGCGAACCAACGACTCGCGTTCTCGTACACCATCGCCCTGTCGGCACAGGGACGTTACCATACAGATTGCTTAGAATTATACCTATGACCAATTCTACAATAATAATTACTTGTTTAAAATAAATTATTTTAAATTAAAATCATTGTTGTTGAACACATGCAGCACACGTATTGTAGGATGACATTTCTTTTAGAAATAAATCACTACATGTGTCCCTGGGCTTCCCCAGTGCAACATATTTATAACATACTTGAGCAACACACAGCCGGAACCAGTAGGGGGCGCCTTCCACATGACCTGCACTTCAGTCTTAGGCAGGTCATCAGACTCAATGACGGAGTTGGTGCACTCCTCGTCGAACTTGGTAAGTGTGTCGGCGAACAGTTGGAACTGTCCCTGCTTGCTGGGGGCGCGCAGTGCCGCGGGGTCCAGGGGGTCCAGCTTCAGCTGGAACCTCGTGAACTGCTGCACCACGTCGTGGGTGCGGGACCCCACCAACGTCACTGCAATTACAATAAAGTTGTTTTCATTGCTTTTGTCCGGTACGGTAAAGATGATCATACGCACCGTACTACATTCACACATACGATATTGGGTCAATTCCTAATGCAGCCGGAAGGAGGTTTGAAATGAAACCTAACTGTAACGTGATAAAGGTTCCAAGTACTACACACAACCAACATCCGGGATTATTATCATTTCAAGTTAAATGTATGCAATGTATGCACCATTAGGTATACGATGTCTAGATACTTGTACATATAGTTTTACTAGATTCTGCAAGCGGCTTTGCCCGCGTTCCCGTGGGATAAAAAGTGATCTATGTATTCAAGACCATAATCTACCCCCGTTTCAAAGTCTTTATTACCCCTTCAGCCGTTTTGGCGTGCTTGAGTAACAAACATAATTACACAAACTCACAAACTTTCGCATTTATAATAATAGTAAGATGTGTTATCGAAACATGTAAGATGTCAACATGTTCACTCGGAGGATCCGAGCCGATCTAACTAACAATAATGTAATCTGGTGTCTGACCTCATTGTTTCTATAACTCGCGGTAATATCTATAGCGAGATAAAACTCAATTATTTGCGTGCTTTCGGATAACGCTTGTTCCTGTCTTGAAGTCACATGATAGTGCCACAGTCTATAGTGCCTTTAATTAGGTAAACAGATTACAGATTACGGTAAAAGGAACACACACACACACACACACACACACACACACACACACACACATACAATTTCTGGATTACTGTGGTAATCGAACCTTTGTCAAGTTGCAGAGTAACCGGTCACATAACCACTGTGTCGACTATTCTGCGGTATTGCTAAACTAAAATGGGTTTTACAGACAGAGGTGCTGTAATTTATGATTGTGTGGATATTAGAAATTGAAGAATGCAATACGCAGGCAGTAACTGTAGGCAAACTGAATGATCGCGATATGAATAAAGTTAGCTTTCTCTTTAGCAAAGAAATAATAAATGTTTTATAATAAATATTGAAACTAAAGATAAAAATTATACAGACCCACGTATCTCTCTCCGGGTGCATACCGCTCCACTTCTCCGTTGACGATGAGTCTGTAGAAGTTGTCTCCCGGGGACTTGGGCCTCGCGGGCTCGCGCGGCTTCAGCTCGCAGGCCTGCGCGTGCGCAGCCACCAGTAACACCGCACACAGCCGCCACATGTCGCTGTAGTAAACACACGTGCACTGTACTTATTTGTTATTCATTATTTACGAAATAAAGGATTAACGGATTTATCGTTATTTATGAAATATATATTTTTTGTTAGTCTGGCAGAATATTCCAGCAGGCTAGAGCAGCGTGATGATCTCACCAAGCTCGCGCGTGTGTCGGCAGCAGAGTGCGGCGGTATCGCGCGCTGTCCGCTCCGCAGATAAAGGGTCAAACATCTCCGACCCCTCGCGTCAAATCGTGCCATATTTAATGTGCGATATAAGACAATATGTTTACGAAATATACCTATATTATGGACACAAATTATACTTGCGTCCTCTCTTCTTATGGAACAGAAAATGTGATTCGTTTTTGACCAGGAACCTATAAAATTGCAGCGACTAGCGTGTAGTTAAGGATTGAGGTTTAGTGTTAGCAGGAATCGTTAAAATCGAAGCGCTACGACGGGTGTATGTACCTTACTGAAGCAGTTAACATAGTCTAAAGTAGAACACTGCTATTTACGTATTGTAAGTTTGTGACAAGTTGTACCTGCGGCCACATCGCATTTGTATTATAAGATTTTACAGGAAAAAGTTCGTACAGAAATGATTAACTGTATATTATTACAGTTGTTATTCAGTGAAGACTGCTCCTGCAAAAATATAGGGTACCTAGGTAGTTACTAAAGTATTAGCACCTAATTAGTCCCATAATGTAATAGTAGAATTTGCGATAACGCGTCAATTATGTACAACAATATATATAGGACACACGACGCGATCTTTGTCATGGCCTACTTTAGGGTGCTACCGGCAGACGCACCCGTCCAGCCTCACCACTGGCCAAGGTCACGTGAGAGAAGAACACGTCTCATTGTTACTTTGGTAAACATGGCAACAGGTATCAGTAACTAGTACAAAATCGCGTATGGAGAATGGAAACAAATGCTGCAACTGGTATTTCTAGTCTTCCCTCGATGTTTACAGCTGTGTCAATGCTTGTATCATAAATCATAAGTAGGTGTTGTGATTGATGCAAGTTATAATGCACTTACCTATGTATCTGACAGGATCTTACGTCCGCCGGACTGGATGCAGTGTCACTGTTCGGTAGCGAACTAACAATAACTTCCTGTATGTGTGTCTTGTGCTTTACATGATACTCGCACGTACTCCGGCACAACACGGCCGATGCTACCACTGAGTCTCGAGGAGAGTGCTGATGATCAGCACTTCAGTAGTGTAGGTGCCTGCAGTAAAGCGCTTACTGAAACTTATTGATGACACGGACGCTCCACTACCCACTCAGTTGTACAGATGTAGGAACGTTAATGAAGCTGAAGTCGCCCCCTGCGTCACGTAAGCTCGTCCAGTGGGTGCGGGACAGGTCAGCGCGCGGCGAGGCGAGGCGGCGGACAGCGCGCGGCGACAAGTGTCGTGTTCCGGCCGCTCATTACCCGCGCGTGCGCATACCTTCGCGCCCACGTCCACGCTTGCAGGACTCTCAGATTACGCACACCCTATTATTGTCTTACATAATTAATTGAACGCTTCCTCCGTGACGGCAATGTCCTTTTTATTATTACAGTTTCGTCTCTCAGATGCATACAAAGCCAAAGCAAAAGTCAAGCGCTAGTGCGGTGCTTACAGTAACTGTCGCCTATCGATTACAACTTGATTTAAATGCGTTAAAACTGACTAACTGTATTGCCGGTACATAGCAATATTCAAAATTTTAAACCAATTAGATAACTTAATGCCTTTAATTAATTAAAGGCATTAAGTATCTGTAACGTAATGTGTGTATAATATTTTTGATTATAAACCACTTCAGGTATAAAACCTTCGCCTCGGTTACTTAAGATACGACATATACAATACACAGTTGTAAAATAAAATAAAATCATGACATCTGAGTTCCGCATCATCACTATGTTAACGACATTAACAAGAACACTTGATGAGGAACACAGCGTGTTATGTTTGTTGCCGGTGTTGCAGTATGGATCCAAGTCAATTTAACGCAGCAATTTAACTTAGAATAGAGTAGGTATCGGAATCGCAACACATATCGCTATATGTGTCATGAATTTAAAATGATGTAGTGACAATTTTGAATATGTAGTATCAGGTCCGATTACCTTAGTTTATCAAGTCAGTCGTCCGGAGTCTCAAGTTATGTATGTACGTACGACGTACGTATCAAATCAGTTTTTTTAAATAATTTGATGCTAGGGGAAATGAGACAAAATAATGCAGATGCAATTTTTTAATTCAGTCATATCATATAAATATTAAACTATGCACGTATTGGTATATCTTGACTAGACTCGTTCGTTTGAAACATATAAATATATGAGTTCGCAGCAGTCGTGCGACACTCGCACTCGTATCATGAATAGATGACATCTCACTGGGTAAGGCTAACAGACCTATAACTTTGTAATACAAAAATATCATTATACAAATATACTAAAACGAAGACTATTTCACCACCTCAGCAATGAGCTAGCAACAAGCAATCTAGCTTGGAACTCAGATGATAAAATAGCCCCCAACACGAGTAACTGTAAAGTTATTTATTTCTGAGATATAAACATGAATGTTTGTTATAACACAACTCCGTAGTTACACACACATAGGTTAAAGTTTATCATCGTTCGTTTCAAATCCAGAGTAATTACTTACAATATATTATAGTACGGAGTAACTCCTGTCTGAGGCTCGTTATAAAAATACATCAACTAATTCGATAAACAGGTCAACTCTCATAGCTATTACAAAAATAATGTCCTTTATATCTTGTGTACATGTTCTCTGTTGAAACATTGTTGTGAAGATCACGTTCTTTATACAATTCGTCCAGTTACAGCATTCCACGCGCGGCATCATCTCACTGTGTTACTGGCTGAGATTACAATACTTATGAAATAATCTTAAACTAAGTAGTGACTAGATATTGTTGCTCGAGTATTTAGTTCGCTTTGTAATTAAATAAATAAATAAATAATAAACGCATGCGGTTGCCAACATTACAATCCTCGTTCATCGATTACAATCTACATTGTAGCAGTCTTATCTTATTTGGAATGTTTTGGGAAAACAACTTAAGAACTAAGTATTAGGTACAGTGTCAGCTTCCAGTCAGTTACAAATATCACTGTAATAAATTAAACCTTGTTCCTTCAAATAATCACAATGTTCGCCAATTGTCATAAAAGCTTATTTTTAGGTGAAGCAAGGATGTAGACAGAGAAACATTGATGATATGTGTAGCGTGCTCTCTGTTGCACACAGTGTTGTATTATATATAACACGTTGTTGTATGATCAATGGTAAATAATATTTATTATAGTGGTTAATAATATCTACCTGTGGTCGACCAGTCCATTTGTCACATCAAACGTCTTGTACAATTCGTAAATTAATCTTCTTTAATCATCATCATCATCATCATCACCAACAGCCGATAAGTACCCACTGGTGACCGAAGGCCTCTTCTCGCACGGAGAAGGTTTTCAAATTTGGATATTTTCTTTGACCGTTTGTCAATGATGTCCAAATAATTCTAGAAAGTAGATATAACTCGGAAAATGTCACATATTTTGCCAAAAGTCACAATGGTAGGTTTGGAATCGTTCATGCATGAAAAGCGGGCTTCTTAAAACTCCGATCCACCACGACATTCTTTGTCAAAAATATCTTCCTGTACAGTTCTTAAATTATTTGAATACATTATATAAGGTAAATTATGTAAGTATACATAGAAACATGTAATTGTTAATAATATTCTGTTCTATTATTTATAGCCCAGCTGTATATCTGCGGCGTCTCCAAATATTCTTCCTGTTATATCTTAATTGTTTTGTTACAAGGAAATATAAACGAGGAAGAAACAAATTAATTAAACAATTAGTTTCGACTTATGCACCGGATTGAATGAACCGATACTTGGATGTTACTTGTTGGGCCTGGGCCGTTCTACCGCGCATATTCCTTCTTGAATACAATTTCAGATAATGTTTGCATCAAAGTTTTTAGATGTTAAAACGTGTCTGGGTGTCAGAGGTCAATGATGTCTAATGAAATAAAGTGTTCAGATTACATATTTGTTAAACACATGGAGGATGATGTGTGTCTGATCGAATATAAACTAACGAAAATCACTTTTATCTAAATAATAACATATCATAAGTTGTTGTACCCAACAGTGACGTAGGACTGCTTCGACCACAGGTGTAGCGCGCAAGCTTACTAGTAATATCAATGATCACATCACGACACCGAAATATTCGTAACTTCACGCCGCGATTGTAAGGCAATGCTCACACCCTCACGCCACCGTCGCGCCACCGTCACTGGCAGACACACTTGTATTTGTTAGTCTCCACACCATCACTTCACATTACAGTCGTGACTCGGAAGCCCCGGAACTCAACATCTCTTTTGGAAGAACAATGTGTACGCCGGTAACTTTACCGACTGATCATTCAATAAATTATAATTACAGTGAAACCTGGTTAAGTGAGACATCAAGGGACCTGCAATGCCGTTTCACTTATAGAGGTATTCCACTTACCCAGTGTCTCAGATATACAGGTATAAATAAATATCTGTCTCATTTACAGAGGGTTCCATTAATAGAGGTGGACTTAGAATTACGTATGGAATTTGTGTGTAGAATAAGAATGAGTAAACAGACAATGTTATCTCAGTTACAGAGGTTTATGCATATAAAATTTACTCGCTGTCTCAGTTATAGAGGTAACTATGATGATAAATCGAAAGAACAAATCCCAGATATAGAGTTTACCTCGTCCCACTAACAGAGGTAATTCAGTGCCAAAATGTTGGGACCTTTGCATGAGTTCCAGTTGAGGAGGTTTCTCACTTATCCAGGTCCCACTTAACCAAGTTTCACTGTATTATGTTGGAAATATTCACACCAAAAACTCGTTTCGAAATGCAAAACATTGTACTAAGAGGAAAGGAGCAGTAGAAAAGATTATCCCAGAAATAGTGCAGTACCACTTATTGATAACATGGCTCGACTACTCACTAATCGATCAATCGGTAACAATAACCTTAGAATGGCATTCCGCAAGTGAATATCTGACAACTAAATATCGATTTACCCAAGAAGCTTAGGGTCGCAGTGTGTTGTGTGGTGAAATTAAAATCTTTTACAAACTGTATGTTACTAGGCACTTTAGTTGAGAGCAAGTTTTTGGAAGGAATATTGTCAACATCTGGCAACTGGTAGGTACTGGTAACGTGAGTACCGCTGCACAATATCAATTGGAGCATGTTTACTTATAGATAAGTGGAACGATGTCGATGTTTGTGCGTCAGTCCGCGGCCGTGTCCGAGTGTCGGCGCGCTCAGAACGTCAGCACCGGCTCCTCGCGGTGGTCCAGGATGTCTGGAACCAACCACACCATGCGTTACATACGTCATCTCTCTCGCAGTGTCCGGAGAATACCAGGTTAAGATAGCATAGTACAGTCCTACCTTTGGCGATGGTCCACCACGGCAGCGTGACGTACGTGAGGTACGCGTTGAGCGGCGTGGACTGCTGGCGCTTGCCTTCCTTCCACAGGTGGAACGTCTGCGTGAACCCACGCATGGCCCACAGCGGGTTGTACGCGCCGTCGTCCAACTCTGTGGACACGACACTCGCCATTACTGCACTGTAGTCATCGTACAGAACTAAGCTGAATGTTTGGTGGGTGTTACATTACAGATAATAATATGTCATGAGCAACGGGTGCGGTACATTTCGAAATGTTTCTCATGGTAATGGTATTACATGGAATATGTGAGGCGCGTATGATAGCATTCCACAACAATATCACGTCTTGTCATCTGGACGGATATACGAGCGGGGCGAGGGCAGTGGGCCGCGCGCGGGACTTGGTGTAATTACAGCTCATTGCACAAAACAGATTTAATATAATCAGCGTTTTTATAGATTCGCGATATAGTAGTGGGACAGTGGACAGTGTCAGTGTGTAACTGTGCAGGGCGCAGTACCAGAGAGGTGTCGGCGCGGCACGTCGCACCAGTAGTACACGGCCGTGCCGTCCGGCGTCGTGCGGCGCGGCGGCAGCGCGGCCGGGGCGGGCCGCGGGGCCGCCGGCCCGCCCGGGGCTGCCGGGGCCGCCGGGGCCGTCGGGGCTGCCGGGCCCGACACCTCGTGCAGGCACGCCGGC